AAGCTGGATCTGGGTGGATGGATCGATATCTGTGGCCAGATTCTTCGGATTCGCTGCAGGAGATACTTCCTGCCCACAGCTATCAGCATCTAATAACTCTTGAATGAAACCAGGATGATGAGCTACGACAACACTTATTTTCCCTTTGGGAATAAAGTATATTTGAATATGAATTTGAATTTGAAGAGGAAGTCGTTTGATAACACTTATGTCCATGCAATTAAAATATTTGACCACTTATCAGTGGTCAAATATGAGACTAAATTATGGCAGATATTTGTCAAGAATACAAAAAGTGTGTTGTCGAGGTACAACTTGTTCCTATTTAACCAAATATGTATTAGTGGGTGTATATGTATACATGAGCCTGTTTGTATGACATTGACCCTGTGTGGATCCACACAGAAATTCACCCTGGAAAAAGGAACATAAAAAATAATATATAAAAGCAAGCTAATACAATATTTATACCATACCATACCACTTTATTTATAAAGCACTTAAAACAGCTACAAAGCCAACCAAAGTGCTGTACAGACAAAACAACAGGTAACACACAAAGCAAAATACAAAATGAGGTAAATCAGAATATTTATGCCCATGATGCATGTATGTAAACTTCTGACTGCAACTGTAGCTGTCTGCTGGCTTCATATTTGTTTGTCATAACTTCACAACAGTGAATCAACCTCTTCATCAAACTCTCAGCAAGAAAGTGAATAACGTGATAACGCAAAATATTATTAGTTCACTTGAGGCTCCCGAACAACCAAAGGCCTTGTGATGTGCTGAAATATGTCAGAAATTTACTGTATCAACAACAAAATCAACTAAGAGAGGCAGTATAGGAGCTCTAAGGTTACAAAAGTTCTGAAATTATGCATCTAGTATTTACATCTGTTTGTTGTTTTTACTTATATGCCATCTTTGGTGTAAATCTGTATTTTAAATATGCTGCAGTTCACTTAGAGAACTATTGAGCACGTCTTTTTTTAAACCTGCATGTACTTGTGCTGGACGCATACTCCGTACTGTATGTGTGTATTTTTCTGCTTAATAAATGAGAACATTATAAAGTCCAAGGGTAGAGTGAGAACGCTGGAGAGAAAAACCATGTTTCTGCAACATCGACAGACAAACAGGCTCAGGCACTCACAACCTTTTGACTCTGTGTGGTTCATGTACCTTTGTGTCTGCTCGTGTGTGTGCGAGCTTTTATGCAAATGGGAGCAGTGAGATAATTCTGCGTGGGCCGGTGGTGCCCACGCAGTGTGGGAACATCGCTCAGCCTTCACAGGTACAGATCCCCAGGGACAAGGACAGACAGACGGGCAGATGGAGAGACGGTCGATTATAAGCAGCTTTGTGCAGAGGTTGCCAACCTGTGTTGCTCCCAGTGAGCAACATATTGATCCTCACCGCAGGCTTCACTTCTACAGATCCTGATTCTGAAAGTCTAAAAACATACCAAAGAACATGCTGTCAGAGAAAACTGTTAGGAAACCTCTTAGGAAACCTCTTAAATAAATGCCTCAAGTGAAATTCATTACATATTCAGAGTAATTTAGCACTTTGCTGGTGTTTCTTTAGGTTTCTAAACTAGATTAGTGAATAGAGCAACATGGGAACTAATACCGAAGTTACGAGACGAGATGTAGGGCTGCACAGACAAAGCCCGCCGGATGCAAACAGCCATGATAAAATACTGAAGAGAGGAACTATGACATCAACAAAGTGAAAGAAAAGAGCAGACAGATGGAGAAGGAGGCGGATGGTGAGATGGATCCTGGCAGATTATACAGACAGACAGTGGCGGGGTCTTAAAAACATCAAGTTTTCAGCTTGTGCAACCTTGTTGTTCAGGAAAACAACACTGAAACACAAATATTAGAATGAGAGAAGTTTCAAAAAGGATTGCATGTTCCAACTGATGGTTCTTATGACTATAACCTACAGTCTGAGTTTTAAAGACAGCCAAGTTTACTTCTGTATGGTATTCTTACCCCTCTGCTGCCGAAAGGCATGACAACACTTGGGGATTGTAGGTTTATAGAAAATAATTTGACACATCAAACTCCCATTGCTCATCCATTTCCACCAGAAAACCACCGTGTTCAAGCTTAAACTGTTTAAGTAAAACAATAAAAACATACAAATGATACATGTATAAATAAAATTCAGGTGTTAACAAAAGAAAAGTGTAGACAAATGAGGGAGGTAGCAAGAGGTCAAAAGCTGTGTGTCTCCATCCTGTCCAGACGTCATTATGTGAGGCCATTTAGGGCACAATTTATTACAAGTCCCACTCCTCTTCTGCTCCACTTTACTAGTTCAAGTTCAAGTGTCTTTATCGTCATTCGCATCTCATGTGGTACATGAGGTGGAATGAAATTATGTACACAGGTTCCCAGTTACATCCAAAAAATAGCAAAAATATAAAGCATAAAAAGAAACTGTATATAAGGATCTAAGATATACACTAAACGAACGCCAAGCGATACGCTAAAAGAGCTAATGCTAAACTAATAATGTAAAACAATACGGCGTAACAACAGCAGCCCCAACAGGAGTCTGCGGTGAGCAGATGAGTGAATACAGTAGCATGAGATAATCAGCAGCATGAGATCAGCAGCATGGATAATCAGCAGCACAGATGTCCCATATCCCCTAACCAATCAAAATTTAGCATTACTGTTTCTAAGCAGACTTAAATTACATAATAAAGGCATACTGTACAAACAAATATGCAGGTATATAACATTAAAAAGGAGTGGCTCTTAATTTCATTGTACTGCGTATAATGACAATAAAGGCATTCTGATTCTGATTCTGATTCTGATTAACATTATAATAAAACACACAAATATGAACTCATAATATGTAAGAAGGAATATTTCTTCTTTTGACATTTCCAAACTTTAATATAGAAAGACAAAAAATAGGCATTTAGGCTCCAACAGGGATGTTTTTAGTTTTTAGTTCTACAAAGTTCAGTCCCTCAATGAGGACTGAACTAGACAAAAGGACCTTCTCCTGCTCCGCTCCTGTTTCCTGGAATATCTTGTAAAAAGATCTGAAGCTCTCGACCTTTGACCTCTCTAAGTGACTTTAAGAATCTGTTGGACTCCTGGCAGGGACCAATGCTGACATGTTCCTGTTTTTAGTTTTCTACATTCACCTTAGAATCCAGCTGTTTTTGTTACTTTTCTTTTTTTAGCCATCCTATTTATTTAAAAAAAAATCTTTATGACTTTTTACAACTGTTTATTGTTGTCATCACTTTGTTAAATCAGGTCTCTCTTGTAAATGAGTCCTCAAGGCTCAATGGGATTAACCTGTAGAAATAAAGTTTGAATTAATGTTTTTGCCTGTCTGTGCATGTGTTCATTTTCCTGTGGTGTTGCCTAAATACCTCAAAAAATTACTGAACAGATTTCAGGTAAACTCTCAGAAAATGATAATTGTATATAGTTCTGCACGTCTGCAACAGAAAAGCTGTTGGAGTCAGTCCGTTTCAAGATGTCCGCCACAGCTAACCAACCAACACACGTTGTGTGTAATGCAGTCAGCTTTTTAGAAATTGAGGTAAAATTTAAAGTGGTTTAATTTCAAGGTTTGTCCAAAGCTGTTTGACTCGTTCATTTCTCATCAGAGGACGATCTTGGTCTAAATCTTTGGGACAAATGGCAGCGGGTGATAAGCATTCCTTTAAGGCCATTGTCTTCTTCAAAAAACTCAAGTCTAACACACAACATGTCCAAGAGTATGTAAACCTACAGTTGTTTTATAATGATATCGAATAGCAAAAATGTATTAGTTATCTATTAAACTTGGTTATATTTTGGCAAAAATACAATACAATGCAACGTAGCATTAATTATATACTTTGTGCAACCATCAAAATACTGCAGACTAAACTTATATTAGATGTTTTGCAGTGAGATTCTGTGATGAGGTGATGGCAAGAAGGTCCTGGGTTCAATCCCCAACTGGACCTGGGGTCTTTCTGGGTGGAGTTTGCATGTTCTCTCCGTGCTGCGTGGGTTTTCTCCGTGTGCTCCAGTTTCCTCCCACTGACCAAAAACATGCATGTTAGACTGCCTTCAGGTCCAGACCTCCCCTGCAAAAGAGATCTGTGATGTCAGTGGGGTTTGCTGGTTAAATAAAGGTTAATAAATAAATAAAGTTTGAACCAAATGGTACCTGCTGTGGTTAGCTCCTTCAACAACAAAACAAAATTTGATTCAAACCTGTTTGAAAAGCTAATGGCTAGTCAGAGGAGGACTAAAACCGTAGGGGATTGATGTCCTAAAAAACCTCTATTCTTAAAACTCCCGTAGTAATTTTTATGTGAATGCTATTTTATAAATCTTTACGTCACTTTCAGTTTTTCTTCACATGGATTTTTGCAATGAAATATTATGATTTCCTGCCAGAAGTGCTTCAGCTAGCTGTTGTTGCTGCTAACAGTGCTTGTAAATTTGCATGCAACTCTACATAAATAGTAAAATACAAGACTGACTGGAGTTATTTAAGACAACAGGCCTCTTTGGTTTTAGCTTCTCTCAGTCCAGCCATTAGCTTGTCGCTCTGGTCAAAACTTAAAAACCAAGGGTCAAAGGGCTATCTACAACAGGTGAGATATTACCCGTTCATACTTTTTTCCAGAGTTTATGTTTGCTAGGCTGGTTACTTAGGAATGAACACCGTAATGCTGAGCAGACCTGTTTCTATAGATAACTGTAGCACTTTTCTTTTTGCTTAAATCGTTCTCATATGGTTATTTGCCAACAGACTGTAAACAAAGATAACGGGAACAGCTTCTTTTCTTCTACCTTTACACACGTTTCTTTTTCTTCTTCTTCTTCCTCAGACAGATGAGTGGTGTGTTTGGATCACCTCCTGCAGATGTAAATTGGGCCATATCTGATGAAGCAAAGACAAAATCATATTTGTGAGGTCTTTACAAACCTTCTGCTGTTTGTGTGCTGCTTCCACAGTGTGCGGAGACATCCACGGCCAGTTCTTTGACCTGATGAAGTTATTCGAAGTGGGAGGTTCTCCTGCCAACACACGTTATCTCTTCCTAGGGGACTATGTAGACAGGGGCTACTTCAGTATTGAGGTGAGGATGGATTATCTGCTTGGCACATTTACCTGGTAAATCTCATCTCTGTGGGTGTGCATCCAGTCAGAAAAGCTTATTGCAATGCATGTGCAGTGACCGTACAGCTCAAACCCTATCAGTGGTGCACTTTCCCACAGATCTCATGTGCACTGTTTGCTGCACAGTGTACATCCACAGAGCATGTGCAGTCCATCACCTTTCGTTCACTGCTCGCATCGTCACGGTCGTGATCTTCAGGCCCTCAGGGTGCATTAAAAACAAGTCTGGTTCTGTTCTGGACATCACTGCGTGGGCACAGGACACTAACAGAACAGCATTGTCTGCAAACACACTTCACGTTGCCATTCACAAGTGGAGGTTAAAGCTCTATCATGCAAAAATGAATCCATATGAGAACATGATGAGCCAGAAACATGTTTTTGAGACGTGTTGCTGCCATAAAATTCAAAGCGATCTTTAAAAATGGTTCATGGATTTGGTGTAAATATTTGATGCGGTTGCTGTTTCATTGTGAACAAGCTGATGTCCCCCGTCGCTGAGGGATTTGAATATTCAGTTGAGTGTTTTTCTGTAGTGGAATTGAGCAGGGAATGCAAGTAAACCTACAGTAAATGTTTTTGGTGCAAGATATTCAAGTGGTCAGAGTTACACTGTGTAAAAGAACAAATGAAGGGTTTGTTTGTTTCTGCTTGTGTGAGGTGGTACAGTGGTCAGTGGTGGCCTGGGGCTTGACCAGTGGTTAATTTGAGCCGGATCCTGCAGGAACAAGACACGGGAACTCTCTCATTTTGACCCGTTCTGTTCCGACAACTCTTTGTTCGGATCCGGCAGCTCCGCCCCTAAAAGTTCAAAGTCATCGCACATTTTTATTTTGATTATTTATTAAAAATACAACGAGAGGAGACGCTGCCTTTAGCCCAGCGGACCTAGCCTGTGGATGTTCCAGGAGCCTCTAGGCTTGGGGGCGTGAGGACGAATCAGATAGTCACATTTACGCACAGAGGTGCTGCGCGGAGTCCTTGTCTCCTCCTCCTCTCCAAATACTGTCCCTCCTCAGGGGGACCGCGCACTGAAGAACAACCCGTCTCCTCCTCTCAGACCCCGAAACAGAAACAATCATTTATTCAACAGAATAAATAAATTCCCTGCAGACAGTGCACGTTACGCACAGAAACGCCTCCATTCTCTACCAGCGTGTGCACATCAGCAGGTGTCTGAACTCCTGCTGCATTTCAGACATAATCAATAAAAAAAGCTTCCTGTAAAAAATACATTAAAAACACAAAGAGAGAAATGTTTGATGTGTTATTCACATTATACGTCACGTTTCAAAACAACAGCGCTAATTTGTCAAAATAACAACAGAGATCAAAATCTCAAAAAGACAATTCAGTTTAATAAAAATGGATGGATGTATTGATTGATTGATTGATTTTCCTTAGTTGGACAACAGAGAACTGAGGCCTTCAGGTGCTTCTAACGGTGCCATGAGACTGGAGCAGAGGAGAGTTCAGCTCAGAACCATGAAGTGTGTGTGGGGGGGGGGGGGTTAGGACACCTGACAGAATCAGCGCTACACAACCTGCTGTTCTTCTCCAAAATACTAATTTTATTAAGTGTTTACAAATGTAGGTAAATGTTGATGTATAACAACCTGTTAAAATACACCAAGATGCAGGAAATGACATCTCTGTTGTTCAACATTTTCTGTGAGAGGACCCCCGCCCCCCGCTGTTCCGGCATCAATCAGTTTACAAATTAAGCCCTGGGCTTGACCATTGCAATGCCCTGCCTGTAGGAGTCTCCCACTCCTCCATCAGACGACTTCAGCTGGTCCAAGACGCTGCAGCCCGTCTTATAACCAACACTCCCAGACACGATCACATCATTCGTTTCTCTCCATTGACTTCCAGTCCATCTTAGAATTGATGTTAAACTTTTATTATTAAATTTTAAAGCTCTTAGTGGTTCCTCCCCACCTTATTTAGCTAATCTGGAAGCTTTTCATGAGTGTGAAAGAACCCTAAGCTCAACTAATGAATCTTTACTGTTTGTCCCAAAGTTTCATACAAATGTTGCGGAGGCCGGGCCTTGTCAGCCTCAGACAGACTCTGGAACCACCTCAGGACTTACACTCCATCACTGATCTGGGCCTTTTTAAATCTAATCCTAAAACCTTTGTATTAAGGCAGGTTTGTGGCTTTCTGGCATTATTGTAAATGGACTGTACTTATACAGCTCCTTTCTATCTGATCAAGACACTCAGAGCTCTTTACAACAATCTGTGCCTCATTTACCCATTCATGCAGCTCTATACTAGATCTATACAGAGACTAATCAGAGCTTTATCACATTCATAAACTGATGGGACACACATCAGAGGCAACGAGGGGTTCAGTGTCTTGCCCAGGGACACTTCAGCATGTGACTGCTGGTGGATTCGAACCCCCAACTCTACCATTGAAGGACGACTGCTATTGTATTATTTTTTATTGTTTGTTTTTGGCTTTTGTATTGTGAAGCATTTTGTGCACCTTTGCTGTGGAGCGGACTCTGTAAATATTGATAGATTGATTGACTAATTGATTAATTGATTAATCTCTGGCCACTCCAATTGTTTGAAACTATACTTTTAACTAGAAAGTGTATTGTCCTCAAATGATTGGAGTGGACATGTGGCGGTGGCCATCTTGGCAGCTCAGTTTTTGATAGTGACCTTTCTTTACATGTGGATGCAGTCACACACCAAAAGGGAAGTCAGCACCTCACTCATTTTTCAAATGATCATGCTCACAACATGCACGGACAGATGGGAAACAATAAAATAGGTTTATCAGAATTGAACATCACTGAATTTAGTTTCTCATTACATTTTACATGACGTCCCAACTTCTTCTGACTTGGGGTTATATAATATGCACTCAAATAAATCAGGGACCTGAACCAATGACCTGGACGTACAGTTCTTTTATTGAGAAGCAGCTGGATCTGAAACATGTCACTGACACAAAGAGAGTTCGGAGCAGAGGGAACAATATTTAGGCCACCTTGTTAACACATTGCAAGGGCACATGAGTGAGGGACTGAATGTAGAACAGCGACGATCCGATGTGAAGGTGAGAGGAGATCCTCTGAGTCATTAGTGGGGTTAGCTAACGGATGGGAGTGAAAAGATGCTGGCTGATGAAGCCATCACATGGAGCCGCAGCTGCTTTTCAACTCCTCGTCTCCTTTAACTTAATGAGCTCGGTCTGATTCGGGTCGATTCTCGTCAAAACGCTGTTTGTTTCTAATTTTAGACCCGTGTGAGGATCGGTTGGCCTCCAGCTCTGTTAATTATGGCTGCGGGCTGCTCGTTCAAGAGGAGGAATGTCTTGTAACAGCTTCATCGTGGTTCTGTGGAGAGCTTTGAGTTTCTGGTTTAATGAGGGGAACTGAAAAAAACTTCAAATTTGCATCATCTGTACAGAATGATATCCTCAAGGAAACGTTGTTTTTCATGCGCTTTTCCTTCAAGCTATAAAAAATGGTTCACTTAGCTTAGCATAAACCCTGTTAGCCCAGTTCTATATTGTGATAAAACAATAATTTGAACAGTTCTTTGCATTTACTGTATTGTTTATCCTTCTAGGGACAAGTGCCAAGTATTAACAGATTCTGTTCACTAAAACATTTGTAGCTTAGTTTAATTTGCAATGCCAGTCCTTAGATGGGCTTTTAGCAACATGAAAATAAACAGTTCAAAACATTACACTATTAAGACAATTAGATAATTAAAACAGATCACAGTAACATAATTAAACTTTTACTGATTTAAACATGAAACTTGCTTTCAAACATAAGAAATTGGGCTTTTACTTTCAGAAAACACATTTTGTTATTAGTGGCCTTCGCAGAAAGGTGAAAGGTTGGTGGTGTTTGTGACACTTGATTCAATATGGCCGCAGCAGCTGATCAGCCATGGCCAACACAAAAATAGCTTTACCTGCAAAAGATTTGACATGAATTAAGTAAAAATTTGGAGTGGTAGTCGCTGAGAGTCAGTCATAACACACGCAAAGAGATCAGAGCTCTGAGTTTAAAACTTTGGTATTAACTATTGGAGTCGACCTTGTTTGTTTGTTAGTAAAATATCTCAAGAAACACAGGATGTATTTTAATGAAACTTTCAAACACAAACTGTGCATAATATTATTTTCAAGGTTTGACTAAAACAACAATAATAAACGTTTTCACAAACGTTTGACTTTCTTGATGCGAAAAAGTTATTTTTATAATCTCGAGGTTTGTTGTAATTGCAAAGCTGCTCAACTCTAATCTCTTTTTCATGTTTTCTTTCCTCTCATGAACATTTTAGTGCGTGCTGTACCTTTGGTCACTGAAAATCCTCTACCCAAAGACCCTCTTTCTGCTACGGGGAAACCATGAATGTAGACATCTGACAGAATATTTTACCTTCAAACAAGAATGTGAGTTGAGTCTTTTTTTATCTTTTCAACAACGCCATGTTCTTTTTCCCTGTCGCCTTTGTGTCGACGTTTCTCGGACATGAAAGGCTTATTAAATTTAGATGTTTGCTTTAGACTTTTTTAACATGAGAGCTAAAAAACATGTTTTATTTAAAATAACGCGGATCATAAAAGACTGCACTTGGAGCCTGGGAACAATCAGCATCCTGTTGTTTTTTAATTTAATGCATGAAGAAGGCGTTTGTTACTAGTTTCATAGTAAAACATAAAATCAACTCGTTCAGTAATTACAAGATTAAATCTCAATACTCATCAAACACGTTAAAGTTGGAGGAAAAAGAGGACCTAATGTGGTAAAGTGATAGTTCAGGTTTCTTTTTCTGTGGGGCTTTATGGATTATTAATATCTCCCCGTCACTTTGTTTCCCTCCTTTCCCACATTGCTGCCTCCTTCTGCATCCTTTCATCCCTCAGTCTTTCTCCTCCCTCCCTCGCCTGGCGTCTCTCTGCATGTTTTTCTGACTCCACTGCCGGTGAGTTTCGGCATCCTGTCCGAGAGTGGGTGATTAGCAGCAAATTAATTTGGCCCTTAATGATTGGCTCAGGGACTCACTCCTCTGTGTCTGATTGGCCAAGGGACGAGGAAGCTAATTTCCCTCGGTGCTTGTGGCGAATAGTGGTTGCCCTCAATTACCATCTGCTACGTATGTGACGAGTGTGCGCTAGTGCGTGTGTGGTGATAGAGTGCGAGTGTGTCCTTATAAATGTTTTAGTGTGTGGAAGGAGCTGACAACTGGTGGACTGGCAATAATGAGCTCTAGCTACACACACAAGGCAGATGGAAGGGTTGACAAACACACTCCTTGCTGTGTGTGTGTCTCTCTCTCTCTCTCTCTCTCTCTCTCTCTCTCACACACACACACACACACACACACACACACACACACACACACACAC